AGCGGCCCTGGCTCCCATGGTTCCTTGATGATATGGATCCGCTCTCAATTGCTTGTGGAGCGGCGGCGCTGGCCGGCACAGCGACCTCAGTACGACACCCCCGCGACCTGAGACTTGGTGATCCCCATCACTCAAAATTACCCCGCAGCTAACTCGTCCCCCCATGGCAGATCTCCGTCTGGTTGTGCAACTTGATCAAAGACGTCAAGAATGTCGACACCAAGATCTACGACCTATCTAGCGAGGTGACCCGCCTCACCGACCTCCTCACCTCGGTCGAACACACGGTGCGAGAATGCCAGGGGATCTCGCTGACCCTGGCGCATCTCGACGAACACATGTGGCAGCAGATCGACAATGCGCTCGTCGACTGCAAGGTCACGGTGGAGGAGCTGGACCGTATAACTATGCGAATAAGTGGAGAGTATAACACGGACACGAAAAGCGTGGCGAAGCTTCTCAAGAAGCCGAGCATGCATTTCCGTTTCACCGTGCACGGGGACGAGGTATCGGACCTGACCAAGAAGATTTACAAGTCAAATTGCTCAATGCAGACGGCCCTGGCTGTTGTCAATGTGTAAGGAAGGACCGCTGGATCGAGGCTTGGCCACAAGAACCCAGGCTTATTTATATCTTGCCAGCTCTATTACGTTCAGAACCCAAGTCTCACAGGAGTCCTTATTTAACGAGCTTCGAAATCTGAAGGCCCTCGTCGAAACATCGCTCAAGGTCGCGAAGGAGCAGCAAGTCGCCAGCACAGATCCTTTTGCGGACCGTCAGTCCAGGAATCTCGAGAGTCTCGCCAAAGCCGCCAAGAAGTTTCACATGGATGCTAGCACTACAGCTAGCACTCGGTACAGCACCACTTCGTGGGGGCATCGCAGCGAGGGCGGTGGCCTGACGGCAGCACAGCGCGAGCGAATCGAGCAGTGGAACTCCGATCTCCAGACGGTCGACGAGACGACCGAAGACAGCATGTCAGATAATGTCATGTCGTTGCCCACCGACAGCCACACCACCATCACAACCATTACAATACCTGACGCGGACGATCTCCCCTCTGATGGGGGGAAGGGCAAGGAGAGAGACAAGAGAGTGAATACGGAGCCCGAAAAAGCAGGCAAGGGCGAAGTCGATAAAGAAGCTGACCAGGATGATGATGACGATGACACGACCGAGTCAGATGTTGAGCTCGACTTTTTGAAGAATTTCGAGGAGCTCGCTTACGCAAGATTCATGGCCCAAGACTACGGCAAGGCCGAACAGTTTCTGCGAATGGCGGTAGAGCGATCGACTGGGGACGTGTCCGGCACTGCCAGCTTCAAGATGCTCAAGTTGAAACTGGCGCTCTCCTGCTGCCTGCAGGAGAAATGGGATCATGCGGCTGGCATTATTGCGTCAATGTCCAAGGCGAGGTCGGCGGCCAACCTCCCCGTTTTTCACCTACTCCAGGCCATCTCGCTCGCCCATCTCGAGGGGGGGCGCTTTGACGAAGCCTACATGGTGTGCAAGACAGCTTTGCAGGGCAAGAAGAAGATTTTGGGTAAAACCAGCTCCGATTACTACGAATGCCTGACCGTGTTCGCCGCCATCTGCGACAAGAAGGGAGACACGCTCGAAGGAGAGGCGGTGCGTCACTCGATCCCGAGAGATTGGTTCCCCCGCTCCAGAATTGCCATGCTGGCGCCCAAGCAGTACATTTTGAGGCATGAGACTCTTGTTGACTCGGTATTTTCAGGGGGGCTGGACAATAACACCCTCGCGCTCCCGTCGCAACCTGGCAGCCCAGCGACACCGCGCTCTGACAACGCCAACAACATGGACTCTACAATATGGGAATGGGCTCTTCCCATTCAGTCAGCGGAAACGCCGCCTGGGCAAGAAAGTAGCGCATCTGCTGTCGAATCGAGCAAACCACGAACTCCCGTCGTCGACCATCTTGGTTTGCATCAGGCCGGAGGAGAAACGGATCACCAACACAGGCGTCTACGATCTGCAGAAGAATTCCCTGTCGTTGACCCTCCCACAAACAACCCCTTTCTACGCAAGACGTCAAACCCCTTTCCACACAAATCAACAAACCCCTTCCTCAACAAATCTCTGTCGGTCTCTGCCCGGCCAAATCCGCCAACACAAACGGCATCCCTACCAACATACCCCTCACAAATGCCTTCACCTCCAGACCCAGATCGAGCGCCACCTCCACCGCCACCCCTTCCGCCACCAGCACATTCGCAGCCTCTAACTCTAGAACCACCAGAAACAGCCAATCCTGGTCCCCCGTTGTACACAGAATCCCGCCAGAGACCTCCAATTATAGAGCATACAGAATCTGAACCCAGCGGAAACAGGCACCCACCAATGCCACAAATTCGGGTTCAAGATGCTGAACATTCGGAGCGGCAGGAACACTCGTGGGAACATCCGTGGGACAAACCAAGCTTGGCGACCTATACTACTACCAGAAACCTCTCCATGTCACCAAAAAGCGATATAGTGCGGAGTCTATCACACTCGAGTGGCACGGGTCGCCCTCGGCTGCCGCAACAACGCAACCCGGACCTGTATAGAAGCTCGTCTACCAGTGTTCACCGCCCACCGTCCAACCAAGCACTTATTGAGCAGGTGCAAAAGGCGGCGGCCCCGAAACCCCCCATTAACCCCGTCCAGAATGACCCGTCTCGACAGCGGTTTGGAGGCATCTGGGACAACACCAAGGCTCACAAAACGAACGATCTCTTTATAGAAGATATGGACAGTTCCAAGCCCGGTGGAGAATACGTCTCGACGCTTGAAGTCGCAACCAGCAGCCTTCCAACTCCTGCTTCTAGCGACGCCAGATCACCGAGTCCTAACAACCCACAAGCAAAGGGCCACATCCGGAAAGTGAGCGCGTCCAGAGAGTCCCCACTTCACATCCATCTGCCCAGGGTACGGTGGATTCCGCAGAAAGACATCAGCAACGTCGGCGGTGCGAGACCATTTGGAAACAACGCGCCGCCACACTTTTTACCCACAGGCGCTGCTGTGGCTGCCGCAACTACCGGGTGTGCTGTTGAGCACTACTCGGTTGGCATCGAGGGCCGGCTCTGGGGCTCAGATGTATTTGCGCTGAGTCGGGGCAGCGGCCAGATCAGCCTGTGCAATGTACCAGACGTAGCTGTAAGCACTCTCATCTCCGCATGTCGGTCTCACTTCATCTCCAATAGATCTAACGTCACGATATTTCCAGGATTCTGCCCAACAAGATGGCGATCAAAACGGCGAGAGTTCCGTAATGTTCGGGATGAAGAAGCTCATCCGCCGGATGAAGTCCAGCGCAGGCAGAGTTGGAGGAGGAGGCGGTCTCCATGGTGACCTCACGGACGCCTCATTGCAGTCCAGCACCACCATGAGCCCTCGCCTCTGGAGAAAAGATGCAACAACATCATCCAGAGAAAGACCGCACCTCTTGCGAGAGCTCGGTTTATTACACGCAAATTCAAACTCGTTCCAAATCGCCATGGCGGAACAACTCCGTAGGATCGAGCTCGAAATCGCGAGCACAATTCTTTGGCCCCATACTCCTACTAACACCATCCCTTCTCAGTCGGCGGTCACGTCACTGCGAATCAACGCCGTCGTGTGCGCCTTGCCGGACGTGCTTCTCGACCCGCAGATGTGGCCGATATCATCGAGTTCCCTGGCCGACTGCCCGCTCATCCAGCACGCAAAGGTGATACCGCATTCGTTTGCCATCATGCAGTACTTTCTTCACTCGGGGGCTCTTAGCTTTCAATCTTCTCTCCCGGATAACGAACCAACCTCAAGTGATGTCATTGTCCTGAGCTGCCACGACACGCTGGTCGAGTGCACATCGTACGTCATCCAGCAGGTGTCAAGTGAGTATATCGAGGTCAGCGACTCGGACTCGCTGTATATGGCGGAGGTTGCTGGGTATGTTTTACTCCTCCTCCTCCTCCTCCTCCTTCTCCTTCTCTTCCTCTTCTCTTCTTCTTCTCCTTCTTCTTCTTTCTCACTAGCCATTCACCCTCCAACATTCAACTCACACATAAATAAACAGCGCCGCCCTCGTCCAGGCCAAATTCGCCAAACTCGTCACCAACCCAGTCAAGCTAATGAACAACCAATTCCGGCACAAGATGGAACAAAATCAGGTCGACCGGATCATCAAATCCTGCTGCGACCACTTCCGCCGGCTGGTTTTCCCCGGGTTCTGCAACGACGGCCGCGACTGGGAGGTCAACTACGAGGCTCTGCAGCCCGACACTACGCTCACCGTGTTGCACGGACGGCTCAAGTTCAGCAACGACGACATTCTCGCTTGCTTCGAGCCTTCGGTCATGGTGCTCCGCAAGATGATCAGCGAGTCGGTGGGGCGGATTAGGAATTTGCATGATGGGCTGCCTTCGGTATGTACTAACTTATATACCTTTCCCTCACACGTTTAATCCTCTTTGTCTCTTTTTTTTGGGGGGGGGGGGGGGGGGGGGGGGGTGGTCGTTCATATTTCTGACATGACAAACAGCATGTGCTTATGGCTGGGACGTACGCCAACTCGAGCTATTTGACAGCAACTATCCGTGACGCGCTCGAGGACTGCAGATTTGCCAATGAGCGGGGTGTCAGCCTTCTGCAAGCGCCCGAGGGGGAAGATGTTTGCGCATTGGGGGCTTTGTACCATGCTAAGAGTTGTTGAACTGAGCATCTCTGTGTTTCTTCCGAGTCGCTTGTCTTGTAGGGGTATGGCGCTGGCTCCGCTCTATGTAAACTATGGACACACGAATCATGAATCGATTTACGTTCTATTTTTTTAAAAAATTCGGCGGATAAAAAAAAAGAGATCAGGGAACCCTGCCGGCAGACCCTCCTCTTGTGTGGAGTCTGATCTTGGTACAAGCCCGCCATATTGGCACACTACATCCCAGGAGGTCCCGTTTGCATCCACTCGATCTCCGCCACCATCGGTACGAACGCTAGGAGCAGAGATAAAAAAGAAGGGGGCCACCCGGGGATTGAACCCGGGACCTCTCGCAATTATTTGTGTGCTCAGGATTGAACCCTAAGCGAGAATCATACCACTAGACCAGCGGCCCTTGTTTTGTTTTTGGATGTTTGGAAGATTTGGTAGATCGGGAGACGAAGCATGCCGGTGGGCCCTGGGGGCATGTTGGTGGTCAGGAAAAGAATATCGGTTCATCCCCGGAAAAAATACGACAAGATGAGGTGGGTTTGTTTTCTTCTTTGTTTCGACCTCGGGAACGATTTATGAGAGTTGTGTGCATGCTCATTTTTAAAGTTTTAGACTCCGTCGTTTGTGGCACTCTCAGGGGCAGCTTTGGTGCTTACGTTGGACGCCAATACCTGTTATTAAAATAGTGCATCTCTAGGCAAAGACCACGGGTTGGTTTTGTTTTTTTGAGTTTTCCAGCTCGGGAGCATTTATGATTTACGTGTGCATGCTCCCGGGGGGGTGGGGTTAGAGCTATTCTGAGTGGCAATCACATAGACAGCTTGGTAGCTTGGTTGTTGTACAATGCATGTCAGACCTCAAAGGTCTCTCTCGTTCGCTCCGGCAAAAAGCTGGATAATCTTGGGACTGACCCGGATCGAACGGGTGACCTTCAGATGGATGATGAAGTGGACTTCAGTCTGACGCGCTCCCAACTACGCTACAGCCCCAGAATATGTGGACATCTTGTTGTGTTTTGACCTGGGTAAAGGCTTTATCATGCTTCATTCCGTCTGGACCCTGGTGGACCTTTGTTCTTTGTGCTCCACTTTCCACCTTTTTATTGCAATGGACTACATGCCAAGACTACGGTTGGATTAAGGTTAATGAACAGCGGGTTAGATGGGATGAGGAAGGTGCGTCCTTGTTGTTTACTAGTTTCATGTTAGCCCCTGTTCTCTTGGGAGTGGGATTTTGGTCACATTCTCAAAAGGTTAATTATCTGCCCGACTTGGGGGGTTTTCGTTGTGCAGCGTGAGCCTAGCTCAAGAGTTGACACGGTTAGTGAGACTTTGTGGCTTGGCCTTAAACTGTTTATTTAGGGCATTATTGAGAATCATACAAACGGGCAGCTATAAATGGAACGAAGGAAAAGAATAGATAACGTGATTGAATCCGTCTTCATAATAAGTGCCAGACCTTAAGCGATGCAAAACGTCCTCGTCTCACAAAGTGCCTCTGGTGGCGTCTTACTCCACTCCATCAACCCATGAACAAACGCATCTCCGCAAAATACAGCTCACTTGATCCGGGAATTTCCCTGAGAATAAACACAGGCCCAGCACCATATATAACGACAATAAGGTCTCCAGATCTCATTTCTGGCGGTCCGACCCCTACCCGTCCCTCGGCAGTAGTAAAATAAGCTCTCGCCTGGCATGTCTTGAAGATTTGATCATATGTGTCGTCGAGAAGCACCAATCGATCGCCCGGGGGCCAGCCATAGCCATTGCAATAATGCTCAAAGTCACGGTAACTTTGCCTCAGCGCCTCACCGTCAGGCACCTGCTGCGTGATGTTGCCGGCTACAGCATACAGATGCGCAAGAGGTACTGTGTCAGGGTCGCTCGCATCTCCGGCCGACGTTGGGTCGAAGCGGCTTTTTTGAAGTGCTGGTCGGCCGATCCGGAGACAGTCGTCTGGCCAGGCCAGAAGCCGACGCCTAAGCTCATTTGCATCCCCCGCCCAGGGATCAGCGAAAGGAGCTACAACACGATCAACGGGGTCTGCGATGGCCCCAACGAGGTCAATGTGGTTTTTGTTTGGAAATGTCCGGACAATGGCTTCTGCGTCGTGGTCGCCATGCCGAAGGTCAGCCGAAAGGTGATTACCAAAGTAATCGAGGCTATCGAAAGTCAGAGAGTGAGTGACATCTACACACCATGAGGGTAGGCGGGCCGGTCTGGGTCGGCCGGTTTGCAGTGCGAGGTAAAATATACTCTTGTTTTGCTCAAGGCAAGCTTTGCCAACCTGAATAGAGACATTGGTGAGGTCCTCTGTATAAGATACTGTGACCATGGACCGAAATTGGGGGGATGTGAGAGACAACATGCCAATCACCCTATCCCGGGGTTCTGAGCAGATCCTTCTTTGTGACATTGACAACAACTCCGCGAAGGGTATATACCCATGGGTTTTGGCGAAGAATTTCGCCTCTTTTGTCGTTGGATCTAGTCCGGACAGGCTCGCAAGCCGCTGCCCATACCAACTTTTAATATGTTCTGCCAGGCTAATCATATTCACCGCTCTGAGTGCTTTGTTGGCTTGAAAAATGGGATGTGATACGTTCGATACGGTAAGCGGGAATAGACTAAGGCGATGCATATGGAATACGAGCTGGCGGAAGTTGCCCCAATCTGCAGTTCAATAACCGTAAAACGCAGCGACGTAGCAAGAGCAGCTTCCCGGAAGGTCCAAGCACGATGGAACCAACTGCGCCTCGGAAGACATCCTATTGCCCGCCATATCGGGTCCTCGTGCGGGGGCAGTCCGTAGGCGGGGAGGTTTTTACGGCTGGGGATGTGTCCAACTGGGAATTTTGCCATTTGTGCAGCGAGTGTTCTGATCTGTGCCATGACCATGTCGCTTTCATCGGCTTCTTTGCCTAGCCATGCAATGACCGACTTGGCCCTCCGATAGATGTTGCTCATGCGTGGCACTTCGTGCGCCTTCTCGGCTGGGGCATTTTGGTTGAGGCAGATGGCGTCGATCCAAATCGGCATCCAGTTCTCCGCCGACGAGGGTGGGAGGTTCCTTTTCTTTTTCCACAACGACCGTAGGGTCCTCTATTTTGTCCACAACGACCAGAGGGTAAATAAGGCTTCGTACGCGCTTTCCGTCACAGACAAGGCATGGCCATTGCAGATGAGGATTTTGTTGTCGAGATTGAGCCCCAGACGTAGGAGAGAGCGTGAAACTCGAGCGAGTCAGTGATTTCATGGGTCGCCAGAGTGCACTTGAGCAGACCAGCTGCGTTTACACCAGTTACTGAAAGCAGTCGAATATGCCCTTCAGGCAACGGGGTGTATGGGATGCCGACGTCATATTGCGTTTGTTGCGGAACGTGGATGGCGGTGATGAATAGTGGTATTCCGTCAAAAACAAATCCTCCGTGTGTGGGGTTTTTGGGTCGGAAGGGTCTTGGCACTTCTGCCAGGGCTGAGATCACTGAGTCTGTTTTCTGGACTCACGTGCCCACCTCACCAACAAGCACTGGTCGGGCATTCTTCGCACTGTTCATTGACTGGTTCGTGGCTTTCGAAATGCAATGCAAAAAGTTCCTCATTTCTTTCAAATTAATGGTGCTTATTCTTTACTACAATCCAGCCCTTGTTTGTTTGTTAATTAGGTATGGGCAACAAAAACTTGCCCAGTTTTACGACCTGATATCCAATTTATTTCCAGAAAGTCAGAGGTCTTTCGATTCCTCTCATTAAATCTCTTCATATTTTCCAACTTTCCGATTTTCAATGCGGCTTTTTGTTGTGTTTTCGATTCAACATTTTACTACAGCCCTATCAGAAAAACCGACGAGTTGCAACCGACACATAGTCCGGTACCAGACGGTAATAATCTCGAAGCACATAATCTTAAGGTCGCGTTTTGCGGCGCTTATCGCGACGCGAACCTGCCGACTTTCCTTGTCGTTATATATCGGACTTCATCGGATGCTGTACGGATCTGGCGGAACAGTCGGGCTCACCTCGACAATCCTTTTCATCATTACACGTCCAAGATCCCATCTGGCACGGATCACGGCCTTTCTCGGCCGAAGTCCCAGTTCTACATGCCCCGGTCAACTCGGCCGGACCAATAGTCCATCCAGTCGCGTCTCTCCAATCAACGAACCCCACCATGGTCTGTTCGGGGTTTATTTTCCATTTCCAAAGCACGTGGTGAGGTGCCCCCCCCTCCAGCAGGAGTATTGCCGGCCCAGCATACCCATGCTAAACCTTTTTGAACTTAGTGGTCAAGCTGTCACTCCCCAGGATTGTTTTCTGCTTGCTCATCACCAATAATCCAATGTCAACGCCCAGGGCACGCCATCCTCGCGAAAAGGACGAAGGATCGCCAAGCCCCCAGCTTCTGCACATCCATCACCACCATACCAGCCCTGTTAGGTGGAGCCCTGCCAGAGTGCGAAGCGTAGCAATTCTAAGCAGATCAAGAAAATTACTAATGCAGCAAAGTATGGTCGCAACCGCACTGCCACAGACCACACAACCTGCACGCACGGCTCGAAGCGACATGTAGTGAATGGAACATGAACCTGCCGTGTCTGCGTATAAGAATCATCGCTCGCCATGTCTGCCAAAAATGATCTTCACACGGCACACGCTGCTTCCCGGGCTGCAACCCCAACTTCTCAAAATGCATCTCAACCTCCTCTCATGGCTGGTGCTGGCCCTCCCAAGTCTGGCCACGACCGTCTCACCCAAGGTTTCGTCAATTCTGTTTTCAGGCGGCACCATTATCGCGTTCAACTACACCACTGAGGGCCTCGAGGTGATTCGCAACGGATCCGTTCTCGTCACAGGTGATCGCATCACAGGCATCTTCTCCAGCAGCGACGCAATCCCACCACTGGCCACCGGGACGGAGCAAGTGGACATCACGGGCAAGATCATCACGACCGGCTTCATCGACACCCACCGACACGGCTGGCAGACCGTCTACAAGACCCTCATCCCCAACATCTCGCTGTCGAAATATTTCATCTTTTTCGGCCGTGCCGCCACTCTGATGACACCTGAAGATGTGCATATCTCACAGCTGGCAGGCCTGTACGAAGCCCTCAACGCAGGCGTCACGTCAATCCTCGACCATGCTCATCACATCTGGGGCAGCGAGTATGCCGACGCGGGACTCCAGGCGACCATTGAGAGCGGCGCACGCGTGTTTTGGGCCTTTGCGCTGAACTCTAATATTCAGGCCAGCAACTTCACCATTACGGAACAGCTGGAGAAGTTTCGCGACATTGGACGCAAGGCCGCGTTTAAGAACACCCCTACTACTCTGGGGCTGGGATATGATGGCTGGGGTCCGTTACCGAACGTGACTGAAGTAGAAGAGGTTGTCGCGGCG